TATGTGTGCGTGTAGGCAAAACTTTTAACAGTCATCGAAAACCAAAAGCAAGGTATAATCTTATGACCTGTATTCAATCCCTACTTGCAGTCCAGATAACTTAAGACATGCATGTTTTAGAAGTTGAATTCAAAACTCTCCTGGACACAGTGTAGACTGGACACAGAGTGGACTAAGTACTCCTTAGTCCTCATTGAATGGGGACTAAGAAAAAGAAAATCATTCTGGAAGCCAAATGAACTTGTTGGCAGGACCTAAAGTATAGACGTCCTGTTATATGACTCTCCTTATCTTCGTCTGCTAATTCTGCCCCCTTTTTTTGCTGTTATTTCCCAGCAGTCATGTTTACAGAAGCTGAGTCCATCGGCCCGCAGTCACGCAGAATCATGCTGATGTCATGACCGCCGGCTCCCGGGGCTTCGCAGATGGGCAGAAGAAGCTTTTTATACCAGGTGTGGATTCAGGCAATAGCTGTTAATGCCGTAGGAGGAGTATGCATATGCACGTGTCTGCTCTTCATGCGCGTATTCGTAAGCGTGTGCGTGCGCGCGTGCGTGTGGGTGGAATAATGACAAAGCTATTATGGCAAAATGAAGGAGCGGTGACATTCTGTGACTCACCAGCTGGAGAAAAGCGCCGTTGCTCCCATTTGGGCGGCGACAGCCATCAGCCCTTACGCACGCCGGCATCAGCTCCACGACGTACAACTTCATGTACTTAAGATCTCTATGTAATGTCATATTTACAATTTACTAAAATTGTATTAAAGAATAAGGGGAAATATGTCTGAGTAGCTTTCCAAAAAGAGTGAAACTTATTTAGGCTTTGGAGACGCATGCCAGATGTAGGAAATCCAATCTCATTACAACTCGGACGTGTGTATTGCACCGAGTGAAAACCGCCCTTAAGAACCCGCATTCCTCAGTTGGTGTTGATAATGACAATCAACCAAAGTCTCTTCTTTAATTTTCTTTTCTTTAATTTTGAGGTTACGATCTCGCAGATTTTTTTCCGACTTATTTTGTTAATTAGATTCGATAAGAAAGTTTGTGCGTAACAAGATGAGATTCTACGTAATTGAAGATGTATTATCGGAAAGCCATTATATATCTTGCTGAGTGAAATAATTGATTCTCAATCATATATATTTTGACTGCCAAAATATGTTTATTCCTAAAGCGAAGTGAAATACGAGAGAAGTCTTGTTTGAAATCCATTTTACTTCATTATTACAAGTATGATTATTGGTATTGTTATTATTATTAACATTGTTATTACTATCTTTATTATTAGTAGTACAGTACTACTTCTGATAATTATAACAATAATGATTATAACTATTTTCATTACTATCATTATTAATATTTTTATTACCATTAATGGTATGATGATTATTATTATTATGTTTATTAACATTGCTATTGCTATTCTTGATGAAAGTTTTATCATTATTAACATGGTTATCATCATCATTACTATTGTCATTATTATCATTATTATCATTATTATTATTTTGATCATAAGCATTATCATTACCATTACAATTACCAATAGGCCTATCACTGTCAAAATCATTATCATTGTTATCATCAATATGGTTATCCTTATTATCATTATTATTATCAGTTATTATTATCATTATTCTTGGCATTTTTGTTACAATTATTCCTATCATCATTACTACTATTATTACTTAGAAAATGTCAAGGAGACACAATCTAAGATAATACTTTTACCGTTCAATTTCAGAACTTTTTGATGTTAATATGTGTAACTAAACAACACGTTATTTTTACGAAGATTTTTTGAAAGAAACATGTTTGACAATCGGGCCTAACTATTTTAACTTCTTTGTCAAAAAATTAAGTATAATTATTTTTATTCATCTAATTTTCAAAATGTGTTGTAGTTATTACCATGCGAGAAAATTACTCCAGATTAAAAGAAAAGTAAAAAAACGAAATACATAGACGTTTAGTAGATTATATTGCTTACAGGAGAGAGAAAAAAAAGATCCGTTTATACCAACTGCCTAGCAAGTCTCGTGTCCCCCTCACCCCTCCTCCCCTCCCCCCACCCCTCTTGCCTCTAGCACGTACTTTTCCCTACACTTTCTGATCGCGAATCTATGGGTGTCGGTCGCTTTATCTAGGCCTTGGGGGGGGGGGGGGGAAACTGACGTCAGGTGTTTACAGGTGTTTCTGATTAAGCCAATATTTCACGCCACCTTTTGCTCTGCGCTGAGGGTGTGGTATCATTTTTCATGTGTCTGGGACTGTCGTGTCTTTTGGGAAAGTTTTTGTTATGTCTTGTGCCTGTGTTTGATTTCGTTTTATAGGTCTCATTTTGGAAATACGGAGCGATATGATATGAAATAAGTTCGATTATAGTATGTTCTAGAACATGTATTTCTCTCGTACTAAAAGAGGGAAAGATAGACAAGAGAAAGAGAGAAAGAGAAAGAGTGAAGAGCGTGGAGGCGAGTGCGCATGCGCGGAGGATGACAGCAAGATTGGCCCGGTGTGGTTTACTTTCTGAAAGTTTCTGTTCACAATTCCAGTCGAGGTACAGCTCTCGAGGAACACACACGTGGAACCAAGTGCTCTCTTGTTCACTGCCTGCCCTTACTACGTTCAACATGGTAAGTTTTGCGAGTGTGAATTTGAGGTTGTACTTAGGTAACTTTCTACCTCTCCGTGATCTCCAACAAACTTAGTGGACATTTTTGTGATCAACATTATCGTGTGTAAGAGATTCGGTCGTTTAACGTTATAGATAGAATTTGAAATGAACAGTTTAGATAAAATTCCAAATGAATTTTTAACCAGTCAAAAACGAGATATAAAAGTCTCCCCTAACGGTTCTCGCAGACGGAGCAACTCGCCAAATAGCGATGTCCGTTTCGTATGATGTGGCTTTCGTCTGCTTTGTAGTAGCCAAACCTCAGGCGAAGGTCCGGCTTCGTTCGGTTTTCACTGCGTTCGGATTAGTACCCTTGATTGCGTTGAAATTACTGAATGCACTTACTGAATGTATTGAATCCAAACGTGTATGTGTGTGTGTGTGCGTGTGTGTTTGTGTGTGTGTGTGTGTGTGTGTGTGTGTGTGTGTGTGTGTGTGTGTGTGTGTGTGTGTGTGTTTTGTGTGTGTGTGTGTGTTGTGTGTGTGTGTGTGTGTGTGTGTGGTTGTGTGTGTGCGTGTGTGTGTGTGTTGTCATCAGGGGCAAATTGACATCTTACAATATTCGTGACACAATATAAAACCATTCAGAGATGTACAATCATCTCCATTTGTTAGACCTAAATATGATCTTATATCACTGTGTGTTCTAATCACACATTTTTCGATTGCTTATATGCAGCATTACATTAGTTACATTATCTAGGTAATAATGAGACTTGGACAGTTATTCACAAGTTCTTCTGTCAACATATTACTGTATTTTTGTCATGTCAATTGTCGCAAGATTCATATATTTCCTGAAAAGGTGAAGCATATTTTTCAAGTCAGTCTCCAATATAATATCGGCTATGCGAATCCGAAAATAGACTAAAAAAAAAAAAAAAAAAAAAAAAAAAAAAAAAACATTACGTACACCGTTGCTAATTCCGTTAAAAAAAAACATATACGTGCACCGTTGCTAATTCCGTTATATCTAATTGAAGATATACGTGTAAACAGGTGCACCTTGAACTGTTTTTCATGAACAAGGTCAAAACTGTATCTTTTTTTTCCTTCTTCAACATTGTGCTGCATCACCTTACCACACATAAGAAGACTGGAAGACCCTTCGTTCCGCATTTACATTCCCGATCAAATAAAAGATCTTACAACATTGTGCTGGTGTGCTCCCGAGCCCTAAGAAGACTGGAAGACCCTTCGTTCCGCATTCACATTCCCGATCAAATAAAAGATCTTACAACAACAATGAAAGAAAGAATGAAAGAAAAAGAAAAAAAATCTCTCAGTCCTTTTTTTTCTTTTTTTATTTTTTTTATTTTTTTCATCGTCAAAGGAAAACGAAAAAATCTTTCAATCCTCTTTTTTCATTTTTTTTTTTTTTCATCGTCAAAGGAAAACGAAAAAATCTTTCAATCCTTTTTTTTTCTCTTTTTTCATTGTCAAGGAAAACGAAAAAAATCTTTCAATCCTTTTTTTTTCATTTCATTTTTTTTTCATCGTCAAAGGAAACGAAAAATTCTTTCAATCCTTTTTTTCATTTCTCATTTTTTCATCATCAAAGAAAAACGAAAAAAAATCTTTCAATCCCTTTTTTTCATTTCTCTCTCTTTTTTTTCATCGTCGAATGTCCGTTCCGCTTTCTACCGCCTTCTTCGCGTCTCGTCCTGCCGTGGGCGTCCACCCGCGCCTCGTACTTACGCCCATCTTGCACATCTCGCTCCTTTCTCCTCACCTTGTCCTGCTCTGGGCGCCAGCGAGAACTCTCACCAAATAGTTGCCTTTGTTTTTTTATCTACTTTCGTTTCTCTTGTCCATTTATTATTATCATTATTGTTGTTGTTGTGTTGTTATCATTATTACTATTATGATTGTCATTATTTTTATTATCATTATTATTATTATCATTATCATCATTATCATTCTTGTCATTATTATCATTATCATTCTTATCATTATTATCATTATCATTCTTATTATTATTATCATTATCATTATGATCATCATTATCATTATTAATATCATTATCATTTTATTATCAATAATAGTAGAGGTAGCATTAGTAATAGTAATAGTAGTAGTAGTAGTAGTAATAGTAATAGTAGTAGTAGTAATCCTAATAGTAGTAGTAATAGTATTGCACTTATTATCACTTTGACATCTTAATTTAACTGGTATTTAGTTTTTGAAGTTTCCCGAATACATATGCATTTGTGATAACAAAATGGTAATTGTTATTCATAACTGAGATAACAATAAGAAAACATAAAACAAAAGTACTGATCACATTTCGCTCATTCCGAAATAGACAAGTAATTAAGTAGACTTAAGAAACACACAACACAACACACACACACACACACACACACACACACACACACACACACACACACACACACACACACACACACACCACACACACACACACACACACACATACCAATATACACACATACAAGAACATGCACATTCAAACACACACACACACACACACACACACACACACACACACACACACACACACACACACACACACACACACACACACACACACACACACACACACACACACACACACACACACACACACACACGCACACACACACACACACACACACACACACATACCAACATACACACATACAAGAACATGCACATTCAAACAGACTGCAAACTCCTGCCATAATCGTGACCTATTAATACCTTTCACACGCCCTACATCACATATAGAAATGGAAGGCTCAGGGAAAGCCTGTCTACGATAGAAAGCTGCATTGCCTCTTCACAATAACGGATTACGGGAGAGGGGAGGGGAGGGGAGAGAGAGGGGAGAGGGGAGGGGAAGGGAGGGGAGAGGGGAGGTGGAGGCGAGAGAAGGGAGGTGGAGGGGATGGAAGGGAGGGGAGCGAAGGGAGGGAGAGGGGAGGGGAAGGGAGAGGAGAGGGGAAGGGAGGGGAGAGGGGGAAGGGAGGGGAGAGGGGAAGGGAGGTGGAGGCGAGAGAAGGGAGGTGGAGGCGAGAGAAGTAAGGGGAGAGGGGAAGGGAGGGGAGAGGAGGTGGAGGCGAGAGAAGGGAAGGGAGGGGAGGGGGAAGGGAGGAGAGATGGAGAAGGAAGGGAGAGGTGAGCGAGGAGGGAGAGACGGAGAAGCAAAGAGAGAGGCGGGCGAGGAGAGGAGAGGAGAGGAGAGAAGGGGATAGAAAAGAATAGAAAGTCGAGGGGATAGGAAGAGGAAGATAAAAGGGGGGAAAAAGAAGAGGGGAGAGGGAGAAGAGGAGGAGGGATTGGGGTGGAGGGATAGTGCCGAGTCATGTGTACAAGGAAACAACGCCACGGAAGAGCGTTGGTGACGTACACCTGCGCACACACCGCTCTCCGGCCATCGGGAGTTTCACATACACTCAAGATAACGATTTCTCCGACTTGAAAAAACTGCGGAGACTAAAAGGTCATGTATATATCTATATCTATGTCTATATCTATCTATCTTTCTATCTATCTATCTATCTATATATATATATTATATATTATATATATATATATTATTCATTTATTTATATATATATATATATATATATATATATATATATATATATATATATATATATATATATATATATATGTATATGTATGTATGTATACTCTACATGTTGACTTATTACACTTGTTTTGATGCGCACACACCGACCTTCCGCCCCCCCCCCTCCGCTAGTAAGCAAGGAGCCTTCCCCCCCCCATACACACCACTCCCATACCCCCGCCGGCCGCCCCTTCGCCAGACGCGCCAACTGTAGCGCCTCTGGCTCTTCTGCCATGACGGAGGGTCAGCGATAGCCATTAGGCTCAGAGCCGAAGCTAACGCTGTGCAAAAGACCGATTTAGGTCAGTAGTGCAAAAGCGTTGGAGGTGCTTTCCAGTCCCGTGCGCTGGCCTTTCCCTCTCTCTCTCTCTCTTTCTTTTTTTTCTTCATTCTTTCTTTCTCTCTTTCTTCTCTCTCTCTCTTTCTTTCTTCTTTCTCTCTCTTTCTCTCTCTCTCTCTCTCTTCTCTCTCTCTCTCTCTCTCTCTCTCTCTCTCTCTCTCTCTCTCTCTCTCTCTCTCTCTCTCTCTCTCTCTCTCTCTCTCTCTCTCTCTCTCTCTCTCTCCTCTCTCTCTCTCTCTCTCCCTCCCTCTCCCTCCCCTCCCTCTCCCTCCCTCCCTCCTCTCCTCCCTCCCTCTCTCCTCCCTCTCTCCCTCCTTCCTTCTCCTCTCTCTCCCTCCCTCCTCTCTCTCTCTCTTCGTAGATTTCTATTTTGCTAATTAATCTTATCAGGAGCCAGTATCGCACGCCTCACGTCACCACCTGAGCTGATTACAAGCGAAGAAGAACTGGAGAGTGTTGATCAGGCTTTTAATTACTTTCATTGGCTGCTTTTGAATTAAATCGTCTTTGTAACTGAACTGGCCATATGTCGCTCTTGGCCTTCTTCTCCTTGTCATCACTGTTATGACGCTTCATAATTTGATCTTATTTTTGATAAATAGGATGAGAAAAAAATAAAATTTACTATGTATACACACACATATTTATGTTTGGCCATATGTTGCTCTTGGCTTTTTCCTTGTCATCACTGTTATGACACTTCATAATGTGATCTTATTTTTGATAAATTTGAAAAAAAAATAAGATTAGAAATATATGTACACATATATAGGTATATAAACGAGTAAAATTATATATAAAACCCGCACACACACACGCACACACACACTGCAAAAATTCCCTCATTCTCGAATTCTGGCAACTCGTTCACGAGACCCACATATCCGTGCCACATACCCACATGACCTACAAAGGGCCGTTATTGTGTTCGATGGCCCTCCCTCCAATGCCAATGTCAAGCACATAACGGATATCCGACCGCATTCCCGTAAAAGACAATCCCGTCATAATTGTGTAGTCTTTGCTTCACAATAGATGGCGCTCT